TTATTCTGTGTGAGTATATGAATTCAAGGTGCTGTCTCTAGCTCTGCTGGACTCCCTGTCTCAGCACTGCTTTCTGACACTGGCTCCTCAGGCCTATTTGTGATGTAAAGAAAGCACTCGGTTTTGCTTAAATGCTGTTCAACTGCATCTCACGTTGGTCTTACCCTGTGTGAGAAAGGGGAGAGAAAAGAGGCTTTTACCTTGCCTATAAATAACACTGGAGATGGTTGGAAGTTCTCAGATAATTTTTTTCCATTGGGAATGCAGTCACTCCATCAATGTGCCCTGGACGAGTACCCTCATCTTTGAGAGAGGCTCCCAAGGATCTGACCCCCAGACCCCCACTCCTCCAACTCCCCAAATTCACACACGCTGATCAGGAGCTGGGTGGCCATCTCGGGCTCCATCTTGGTGGGTCACCTCTCCCGTAGCAGCCAGGCTTCTTCGCCCAGCTTAGACATGGAGAGCAAAGCAAGGGCTTCAGTGAGAAGCCCCATCAGCAAAGACAGAGCATACGGAGAACTAAAACAAAATCTCCTTTGGTCTATAACAGGGGAGCTGTAGCACAGACATGAGTTTCCAGATCGGACAACGCACTATGAAAAGGTCTGACTTGGTTTTATAATGGATATGCCATAAAACCCTGTGGGCATGGACCTGGATGCCCCTTACAGAGACCACAAGAAAGCATGCTGGCTCAGACATCCCTTTATGTTTTGTTTTACTGCCCCTGAAGGCATTTTCCATCTGCTCTCTGTCCAGCCACAAGTCCCAAGCAGTCTTTGCATGATCTCCAATAGCCACTCAAACAACTGCTGCTGCCAGGCCCAGCTCCATCCCCGTGGCAGCAAGAAGAGCCCCTTCAGGAAGGTGACCGCTGCTCAGACATCAGAGCACGTCAAATCCCCATCCCTGGAGGCACTTAAGACCAGGCTGGATGTGGCTCTGGGCAGCCTGGGCTGCTGGTTGGCGACCTGCACACAGCAGGGGTTGGAACTGATGAGTGTTGTGCTCCTTTGCAACCCAGGCCATTCTGTGATTCTATGAACCGCCTTTGCAACACAGTCACGGCAAGATGCTGTCTGTGCAGCAAGCCCTAGGCTAACCCATCACCACTGTTATTGCCAGCAGTAGTGCAATATGTTCAGCAGTACATAAAGTCACTCATTTCAGATCATTCCCTTTCTCATTCCAGGAGAGGCTTTTATGCACCTGGAGACAGATGTTTTGACCCAACACTGCCCTTCCCTCCGTCCGCCCCAATTTCCTTCTTGGTCCTGAGAGCACCGATCTCTTCCCACAGTGGGAAGGAGAAGTGGAAATAGCCTTCATCTGCAGTAAGAAAATGCTTGGTGTAAATATGAAGGAAAAGTTGCAAATACAGGAAAGAAGCAGGGCCACATCCTGACTGTGATGGGGGAGGACCACTCTGGGCAGTGGGAAGCAGGACCCAAAGCTGCCAGCAGTGGAAAACGGCATTGTGGCTACAGCCGTGCTCTCAGTGAAATGCCTGTGAGAACCCCCAAATCCCATAAATCCCTGCTGTCCCTCACTGTTACGGCTTGGGGCAGCAGGAGAGGGAAGGTTTGCAGATCCACGAGTCAGGCTGCTAGGAAATTACCAGAGAAAGTGGTTTCTGTCTCAATATTAATTTTGTTTAGTAGACATGGCATAGTAAGACCACTGCACAGCTCTGCAGGTGCCCTCAATGCTCCTGGATCTTTAGTGCCCCAGTAGACACACTCAATGCTACACCAACTATCCTGAGGAATGCATATGTTGTTACATGCAACGTGCTGTTTACAAAGAGTTAACTTAAAATTTTGAAAGAATATTAATTTTTTTGCACTTCAGACATGAAACTCAATTAAAATGTTGGCACAGCAGTTTGATTAGGAATCTTTCTGTAGGAACCAGCGCACAATGCAACGAACACGTGTAAATGGAGGCATGGTCTGGTGCTTCCTGGCATGCAAATTCTTTGAGACAAGATCATAACCATGTTGCACTACCAGTAAGCTCACAGTTGGATGCTTATGCAATAAGGTAGTTCTGTTTAGCTGCAGCAATTACATTAGCACAGAAAATACTGCCACATCCCTCACATGCCTCGCTGTTCTCTCCTTGCCCTTCCTGACGTCGCTGCTGACCTTTGCTGCAGCCCTTCATGGCTATTTACATTTTAGAACAACTACTGACAATACGTCTGATTTCTATATGAGCCACATTGTCCCAGAGCTCAGCAGCACCTGTGGGGCACAAAGGCAGCCACTGAAGGGCATCATCCCCAGGGCAGCTGCCAGTGATGGGCTCCTTTATTGCAAGGGAAGGTATCCCTTCCCAGGTGAGCTGTTTATAGCACTCATAAAAAACACTCAGGAGTGCCTAGGAGATGTGCTTTTAAAATACAAACAAAATAATGCCTATGATAATGATAGATACCTATCTGCTTGAGACGCAATGATTGTATTCATCTATCTTCTGTGAGGTGATGGCTTGCTTCAATCCAGACTTTTGAGGTGTCTTATCTTGTAGAGACACAGAGATCACACGTTGCTGGGAATTTTATGCCCCTGTGAACAGCCTCTTTCTAAGCAGATTTACAGTTCCTACAGATGTATAGATTAAATCTACATTCAGATTGAAAACACGGGATTTCAGCAGCCACTCAGTGTCCTGTAATACAACCAGCGTTCAGGCAGAGCAGACAACCTCCCAGTGTGACACAGCTTTGATGAAGACCAGCACTCCAGCCCTGACACCACGTACTGGGACATGGAGAGGCTGCATGGGGACAGGGCATGTTCCCCTGGGGACGTTGCTGCTCCAGCAGCAGCACTGACCACCACCTCACCTCTGGCTGTTCTCAGAGTGATGGCTGAAGGAGCCCACCTCGCTGCCAGCGGCTAATGATGGCTCACTTCCCTCATGGTGGCCTTGCAAATTTATCCACAGGAAATTGCCTTTTGCCTTGAATTAAAATTGCACCAACTTAAAAGCAAGAGCTGCTTGATTATTACTCCATTCTCCATTGGTAAATGAAACCTCATACCCTGAGTCCGTACCATAATGCGTTTTCTGCAGAAATTGGATTTCATGAATCAGCAGGTCTCTGCCTTACTTACAGGAAAAGAATATCTTCTTAAGTACCAAATATTCTGGGAAAAGCCAAGACGGGCAGCACTACGCATGTGATGAATTAGGCCCATAGATGGCAGGATGGGACCGTCCAACACAGCTGCTGGGGATCCTGCACACGTACACAGCTACAGGACAGGAGCGGTGCCAGAACCCCACACATCTAGGTGATAGGAAGGACTGGGACACGAGTAACTGCCACATTGCCATTCGTTCCTTGATCGGAGCCACTGCTGCTCCCTGTTTTTCCCACACAGCTCAGTCTGTCCATTTTACAGCTGCTAACAAAATAAGATGCAAGCAGTGTTTCAGGAGAGAAAATCCCCTCTGTAGTATCAGGGAATCCATGTTTAATAGGTTGTTACCCCAGGAGACTTTTTTTTCTCTTTTGTATTAAAAAAAGAGAAACTCTTTCCAGATGATATTAATGCAAACTCTGAAGAAGGATGAATGCCCACTCCCAAGTCGAATGCTCTTAATTCCCAATTGAAATCCAGACTGCCCTTTGGGAACCCCTCCCTGTTTTGATTAGAATCAAACAGATGGGGGCAGAAAACAAATCCCTCCATCTCAGCCTTTCAGACACACCTCAGCAGCTCCCCCACATCTCAATGGAGTGGTCAGAATCAGACCCCCATTTCTGCACTTCCTCTCACTTCCCACATCCCACCCCTCTCACCACAGAGAATGCCTGCTGTTGCTGTTTCCACCTTGGCACTGCCTGAGGTGTTCACCCTCTGCACTCTGCACTGTAACAGTGGGCACGTTGCAAAAGAAAAGCAAAGAAAGCTGGTAGAACCCTGGCAGCAACAGAACTGCTTTGTTCAAAATAACCCAAACCTTCGCCTTACTTTCTCTGAACTGCAAACTCACCAAATACCACTTGCTTCTGCTATGAAATTCTTCTGTTCTCACTTTTTTGCGTTTTCTGCTTAAAGGATGTGCTGCATTGTGTTCACTTTGTTAATGATTGCTCAAATCTGAAATGGAACAGAAGGAAAGACCTCACACTGCCTTCTGCTCATTGCATTTCTGTGGTGGTGGGTTAAATATCCCGATAACACCGACACAGAGAAAGCACAGCAAGAACAAAGCTTAGTGGTTGCAAGGTAATAACCCTAGGATTTAAGGAGATGAAAATCTGCAGTCCGATTTCCACCAAGGAATATCTTCATGCATGTCTTTCAGTATTATCGCTATGAAAACAGGACAGATTACCACGGAAGTTCAGCTATGAACATCTTTGGATGCCACTAACAGATGGCTGGAGAGTCAAAAAATGTGAAATACTATGAAGTCACGGCTATAAATATCTTTCAAGTAGGACATTTGAGACCCATTTTATGTAAGCTTCATGTGAAGAGCATCTCAGCACTCTGCTTTGCCTATCCCAGTGGCTGCTGTCTTCATCAAAGGACTCCATGGCTTGTCCCCTCTGCTCACCCTACCGCCCGGTGTGTGCAGCCAAAGGCATGCAGTGCTGGGCTCATAGTGCCCCTTGGAGACCTCCCAAGGAGTTCTGAATGGTGCTCACAGTGCTGCCTTGGCTGGCCAGTACAGAAAGGTTGTGCCATGCTAAGTGTCCGTGCCACAAAGCAGGCTGAGCGCTCGTGTCTTTTTGTACATCCGCAACTTGTTGCTGCCCCCAAAATGTGGCATTGCTTCCAAAACAGAAGCCTTTCTGCAGCACAGAAGAAAAAAACAGCTGAGTTATTTCCCACTGCTGAGGAATGTAACGGTACTTGTGTGCCTTGTGATAAAAACGAGGGAAAGAAAAAGCACGCTGACATCTTTCTGCTTTTGAACCCAGGCATGTGGAAACAAACGAGCACGAACACTTGTCACACATCTACGTTACTTACGGTTGAGAGGCAGGCTGGCATTGGTCATCCCAAGCTTGTTGGCAGCAACACAGGTATAGTTGCCAAAGTGCTCTTCTGTCACATTGGTAACAGTAAGAAGTGATCTCGTGCTATAATTTTTAATAGTAATTCCTTGTTGACCACTGATCAGTCTAGAAAGTAAGAAAAAAAAAGTCTATAACTTATATACCATAAGCAATAGCCTTTTTGATTTTTTTTTTCTAACAGATACAGCTGATAGCACAGTAATCAGTCTGCACGTGACCCTGCTGAACGAACTTATCAGTGGGGCTGCTTTGGGAGGCAGCACTGGAGGTATGAAGGGAGCAGCCTCGGGCAGTTTGGCCCACGGCTGGCCTGGAAGCAGCACCCCCAGTGCCCGCCTGCATGTATCCATACTGCTGTGCCCAGCACCCATAGTGCTGCAGCAGGGGCAGGGTGGGCTGTGGGTGGGCAGTAGGACTGAGCATGGAGACAGAGTGCTGCCCTAAAGACACTGCGCCACTTCTGACTGTGACAGTAAATCCTTCAGAGGGTGTTTTTCACAATCTGGTGGTTGTTCGCAGCCCTGTGCATCTCCAACTGATGGTAGATTGGGATTACGTAGCCAAGAAGGGGATTAATTAGGATGGAGACCACGATTTATTTTACAGACCTCTATAGCAACGAACTGCTGTTGCAATTAGGAAGGATGTGCTACCGCAGCACTGCATCCTGAGACTGCAACTTGAACAGAAATCAGGTAACAGAATGCAGGAGGAGCTCAAACACAACCGTTTTCACTGGGCTCCCTTTCCCTGAGCTGAGCCTTCCATGGCCCTGTCCCATACGAACCGTGCAGCTTACAGCGCTGCTTCCAGGCCGTGTCAGAAACACCGCTGCTCTGGCACAGAGGAAGACAATCAGTTCAAATTCTTTTGTTGTATGCAGACCACATCTTGTCAGATGGATACCCATGTTATTAAAGTGCCAGCTACAGCTGGTTGCTCACAGTGGATTCCTCACGTTTCCCATGACACGGTGCCAAGCTGGGGACACAGCACAGAGCCACGTGGCTGCCAGAGTCTGTGGTCAGCTTTGGTCACCATGAACACAGCACCTGCAGGACCTCCATTTGCTGCTGTAGAAACCTGATTTTGCTGCTGTAGGAACCTGATGCTTTCACTTCTGAGTCAACAACCACATTGCTGCCCAGCTCACTGACTGCACACGGCATTTGCTACCTGTGTGCAGCTCCATTTCGGAACACAGCATCTCCACTCATGTGCAGCCACCCTACACATCTCCTTACTCCACTGCTCCATGCCATGAGCTGAACATGGAAATGGAATCTCATTTTTATTTTGGAGACTATGCCAATGCATGAGGAGAACACCATGTGTCTGTGCCAGTCCCAGGGGATATCTACCTTTAGTTTCATATTTGAATGACTTCACATTATTGCAGTATATTAAGCCATTATAACAAGTTTTGTTATTTCAAATGTAGGTCTTGTTTGCTTTATCAAGTAGAAGAGAATTAATATTTTTAGATGAGTGGCTTTTGGGCTTTTTCCCCATGGCTGTTCAATTTCTGAGATGCAGTTCTTCACAGCCCTGTAACACAGCATACTTGAGCAGTTGTGAGTTTCAGATACCAGACTCAGAACAGCAAAGCCTCCTCCCCTCCACAGGGAATCCCTCTGCAGCTTTAGAAGCCAAATGCTATCATAATTTTAAGAAGCTTTTACTAACTTTTCACCCAGTCACTTTTTAATGTGATGCATTTCAGAGCTTTGGCTCCTGCTCAGAATTTAAAGCCCTCAAGGGCAGTCCCTATACTGGCTCCTTCCCCAGCTCCTTTCCTGGGTGCCACCACAGCAGCCCTGTGACTGCTCTTTGGAGAAGAGATTTCTCTTCATACCCAGCCTGCCCTGCCCTGGCACAGCACCTCCCATCCTGTCGCTGTTTCCTGGGAGCTGAACCCCATCTCTCCAACCTCCTGCCAGGAGCTGTAGAGACCCATAAGGTCCCCTTGGAGCATCCTTTTCTCCATACTGAACCAGCCCATTCCCTCAGTTGATCCTCAGTTCATGTGGGCTCTCCAGGGCTGTGTGGTCTGCACGCCCATGGGATGGCAGGCAGTGCTCTGGGTTCCTCCCCTGCTTTCCCCAAGCAGTTCTCAGCCCTGAGCTCGGTGTTCCCAAAGCATGGCAGGAATGCATGGAGAATTGATGAGCAGTGACTGCTGCAAGCCCAGCGAGGAGAGAGAGGAGCAGTCCTGCAAACACCTCATAGGTGGAGCTGGACATAGGCTTTAGCTGGTCTTATTTTTAGTTTTACTGACTTTTTTTTTTATGATGAGATGATCCTGGGAGTAGGAATGAACAGTGCGTGTGCAGCCCTCCCTGTCCTGCGAGTGGTGCTTTGGAGGCTCCCAGTCCCTCTGTGGCCACATGTGTTTTGTGAGTCTGCTAGCAGCTCTTGGACAAACAGTGATGTACCATTAGATTTAACAGAATATTTGAGCAGTGAGACACAACAGGACAGTGCTTGTCTTGCTGATTATAGCAAGCCTCAGGTGATACAGCAACTGAAATGGAAAACAGAAGGCACAACTTCCGTGTCCTGAAATGCTCTGCTTATCCTTTCCCGCTGCTCTTGTGACACTGAATGCACTCAAGAAGAAGGGAATTGGTGACTTTTATAAATAGAGAGGTGATTATCATGCTGGAAATGGCTAATTGAATCCAGAGTGCCATGGTCTATATTAAAACCTGTGCTCCAACAGTTTTTTTTCTGCTCCAACTCCTCCCCGACATATGTACAATATGACGTGCACCCTTGGAAATAGGATGCAGATGAATTTCTCCAACAGAGGGAAAGTCTGTGCTGTTACATGTAGTAAAGGTTGATTATGGTGTTTTCCAGAATGCTTTGATCTATGGTCAGAGTGAGATGGCTGCGGCTGCTGTGGGAAGTCAGGAAGGAGAGAGAGCAGCGCTCCTAAGGAGAGCAGCTGGCCAGTGAGAAATGAGCTGACAGATGGTTCCCTATGAAATATGGTCATTAATATTCTCGTGTCAGTTCCCACGTGTAATGGGATCTTAGAGCTGATGAGAAACCCAGTGTTCAGAAGCCAGGACATTCCAGCAGCTAGAAGATGTACCTGCACAGCTTCTACCAGGATTTTATCCTGCACCAATGTTTAAACTTCACATTCCGCGAAGATTCAACATCTTCGATGAGGTGAGAGTGCAAAGCAAAACCTCCTATTAGAAGCCAATCCTGCAGAGATATCTGACCTTTACCAAGCACTACCGACGCAGAAGCAAAGCTGGATGCAAACACAGGGGCGCACACTGAGGTTGCTGGACTCAGTCTGGGAGCTCCTGCAGGGAGGTGCTGCTGCTGTGCAAGGGCTGCGGGCACCGAGCTGCACTGCAAGGCGCCTCCATGAGCCACCCCTGAAACCTGAGGCAGGAAGCCTACGGAGATGGCTTAAAAAACCCATATTCTTTAAAAAAATCTCTTTTTATTAGACTTTTCCAGTGGACGTTTTCTGGCTGCTGTACTTCAAAGGCTGTAATTACTAAAGCATTTTTAAACCCTAGGCTCATTATGGCAATTATCACCATCACAGCCCAGCTGCGGACAGTCCTATTATGCCTCATCTACCGGCGCAGAAACAAAAGCTGAAAGAAAACTCCACGACTCCCCCTGGGCAGCTCTGCAGCTCGCAGTGCAGGCAGGTACTTACTTCCTCTCTCCTCTGTACCACTCAAAGACCGGGGCAGGAACGCCCGCGCCTTCGCACCGGATGAGGCCGTTCCCTCCGAGCATCACTCCGCTGGACTTAAGTTCCTGAATTGTGGGAGCAACTGAAAAAAAAATTGTAAAATAGACATTTGCATACAAATCCGAAGACGGCCGAACTCTGCTTCTCCTCAGCGCTCTCTACGTTACTCAGCTTGGCGCGTGTTCTCCGGCTTGAGTCACATTCAAACGTGTTTTCTTCCGGCACTGCAAAAATGATCCCACACAGCAGATTCTGACACAGATCTGTGTATCTGGTGCAGAAGCATAACTGAGACATGGAGAATATTAATCCCACAGCGAACAGTCTGTTTTTTCAATCCGTTCTGCTCAGTTACTCAATACAAAGCACAGTGACGGCTGTTGGGTTCAGGCAAGGCATGGCCTCAACTCTTTGAAAGGGTAGATAACAGCAGGACAAGGGGAAATGGCTTTAAGTTGAAGGAGGGAAGATTTTGGTTGGATGTCAGGGGGAAATTCTTTGCCATGAGAGTGGTGAGGTGCTGGAACAGCTGCCCAGAGAGGCTGTGATGCCCCGTCCATCCCTGGAGGTGTTCAAGGCCAGGTTGGATGGGGCCCTGGGCAGCCTGGGCTGCTGTGAAATGGGAAGGTTGGTTGCCCTGCCTGTGGTGGGGGTTGGAGCTTCATCATCCTTGAGGTCCCTTCTAACCATGCCATCCTGTGATTCTACGGCCCAAAGTGGGGACCACCATGAGCACTGCTTTGCTTTGGGTCCTCGCAGCAGCACAGGGCTTGGGGCACTGGAGCTGCTTTGGGCACCAAAGGCACACATACCCTGCAGCCAGGACCCAGCCACACAGCACAGCAGGGCTGCCCCACCACTACACCGGTACAGGCTTGCTTCTTTAAGTACATTCTGTCTTCTTAAACAGTGAACACAGTAAAGGGGAATAAATATTTCAAGCACAGAACTGCAGATATAAATAAAGCCAAAAAGCCATAGCTGCCTCTCTCAGTTGCCAGCAAAAGGCAACCGCCAGCTGAAAACAGAAGACAGAGAACTCCTCAGGAAGGAGATTATCAAAGTTAGGGCTGAACAACAATTGCCTTCCCCCTGGAATTTTGCTTACATTTTCTGTTTTTAAACAACAATTTATGCGCATCATAAAACGCTATAAAAACCCAAACACGGAACTTATAAATAAAAATCTGTTGGTTTTTTTCCCAAGCAGTTTTGCAGATGTTGCTGTGAGGCGTGTATGTAGGTGCAGAACATTGGCTGCCACACAGCTGTGCCCACCACCCCATGGCAGCATCCTGCAGTACCCAGCACAGCACACACACACAGAGACAGGTGATGAGGGTCTCTGCCAAGCAGGGCAGAGATTGCCCTGGGCAGTTTGCATGTGGCCTTTTTGGGGACGTCCTGCCTTCCTGCCTTGCCACAGTGCTTCTACCCACGTTGCCCTTGAGGACGTACAGGTACAGGGCTGAGCTGCAGGAAAGGAGCAATATGGAGGAGCCAGTGGTGAATAGGGTGACCACCAGCCAGCACTGTGCCCTGGTGGCCAAAAAGTCCAGTAAGACCCTGAGGTGCATCGCATGGAGCGCAGCCAGCAGGGAAAGGAGGTGCTCCCCTTCTGCTTTGCACAACTGGAGCACTGTGCCCAGTGCAGGGCTCCCCAGTGCCAGGCAGATGGGAAACTGCTGGAGAGCCCAGTGGAGGGTGCAGAGCTGGTGGGGGACAGGAGCACCTCCTGATGGGGACAGGCTGAGCCCTGGGGCTGTTTGTCTGTGGAGGAGAAGGCTGAGGGGGATCTGATCAGTGCTGATTGATATCTGAAGGGTGGAGTTCAGGGCTCTGTTCCATGGTGCCCAGGAAGTTCCATCTGGACATGAGGAAAAACGTCACTGTGTGGGTAGCAGAGCCCTGGCACAGAGCTCTGGCATAGAGAGGTGGGGGGGGGGTTGGTTTCCTCTGCAGAGATCCAAACCCACCTGGATGCTTTGTGTGCATCTGCTGTATGGATGTGCTGTGGGGGGCTAGGCTGGGGGAGCTCTAGAGGTTCCTTCCAGCCCCCACAGCTCTGCGATTCTGTGCTTTCTGTGGCAGAAGCCTGGTGCCCCCTGAGCAATCCAGGGTCACCCTGCTCCATGCAGACACCTCCAGCCTAGGTACCAGGGAGAAATCCTGGGAGATGAAGCAGGGCAGGGCACTGAGTCAGTACATCCGGAAGGCTCTCCTCAACCAAAAGTGTGGTTTGGGCTGCTGACAGCTCAGCCATTTCAATCACAAACTATCCAAATCTACCACAGTCAGCAGCTGGATGGGATCCCAACAGAAAATCCCAGCTCACATTTCCGTGTGTGCACTGCAAACCCTCTCATGACTGTGAGCTCTGCCAGCAGCCATGAGCTGCCAGGTGGGACCCCATAGCCCTGCTGCCCTCCCAGAGGAGCCCGGCCTTTGCTTGCTGGGAGGTCAGGAGAAGGGAAAGTAACTGCTGGTAGTGTTTGCTCTGGGAAATCTCTGGCTAATGCTGATGTGAACAGGCAGAAGGCTTAGAATCACCATTCTACCGTATTTTTCACTGTCAGGTTGTTTTCCTTCTGGAACAAACTATACAACGCAGGCACACTTTGGGAACGCTGAATGACGATAAGCACACAGGTGAGCACAGAGGAGCACCCTGTCCTGGGGCAGAGTGCCTCTGTGAGGGAAGCTGCTCTGAGTTGGGGAACCCTGTAGAAGTCCCCATGGGATTCTGTGGTTGGCATTCATTTTTCCTTCCTGCTCAGGAGCAGCAGCAGGAGGCCTGGGCAGGGCAGGAGCACAGCGTGGGGTGTCTGCATTTCAGGGTGATGTCAGGGTCACCAATGTAGCAGTGAGTGCCCCCACACACCCGGACTGTGCACATCCTCTTTTGTCTCAATGAAACAACCCAAGCTGTGCAAAGCACTCACGTTAAAGCCTGACACAGCAGTGCTGGGTGCCCCTGGTGCTCCAGCTCCCTCCCAGCACCTTTGTGAGCAGCCATCACCTCCACTCCCTCTGCTACGACTGCTCCGCTCGGCTGCTGCCACCAACACGTGTGCATGAGCCAGCCTTTGGGCTGCGAAACCCAACTCTGCAACTTATGCTCCAGCCAGAAATGATGCAGTGCTCTGCACAGTCTGGTTTCCTACCCAAATATTTTCTCTTTGCTTTCAAATGTCTGAAGGAACAGCAAAAACAATGCGTGAAACACGCTGGCATTCGGGCAGGCACAGCGGATACGCAGAGCCCTCCGCTACAACAGGTTCCATCTTTTAACATTTTAATGAGCTTCGGGACTTTTATGCATATTAGTTATGTTGCCCTAATTACTCATTATAATTCTAATGTGCATTTTATATTTAATTACAATGCTTATAAAGATTTGGTATGGGCAGTAAATTATTATAACTAGCATGTGCATAATGATTAAGAGCTGAATTTATTAACTTTTACACTAGCATTCAGGGCTGGCAACTTTCAATTTCACCTTTGTGATTAACCATATTGTCTGATTAAACCAACATTTTTGTGGCATTAATTGTAAATGTCAAAAAAAAGTCTTTTATTTATTTCCATCAGCCTTTAATTTGGCATCCTAATGCGTTCTTTTATTAGCAAAATTGCTCTCTGGTGTGTTAAGAGGGAGCCTTTCAGGTAAGAGAACAGGTTTCCTAAGATCTCCTTCAGTTTGCAGAAAGCCAGACACGAGCACTATTGATGTATTCACTTTGTGTAGACGTACTGCACCTTCTCAATAAAGCAACAAATCTTCCAAGCCAAGCAATATTACTCACACTGTCGATAATGGAGGTGCTCTTCCAGCAGCCCACAGACTTTCTTTCTCTGGCTAGCAGCAGCCCCTCTGTTCTGTTCCCAACTCAATGGTTTCACAAAGCTCTCCTTCCAGCAGAAACATCTCTGGGCTGGGGCAGCATTTCAGGCAAACACTGGTGCAGCAATCCTTTTACCAAACAGCTGAAAACCTTATTTTTTTCCCATCTTTTCTGGACAGGTTACCAAAACGTACTGAATTCAGCAGGGTCTTGATGTGCACATCTGCCTAAATGCTACATGCAAACACACAACACGCATTAAGAGTTCAGTGCAGCCCGTATGTTTCCAGATGCGGCCCAGCGTCTCTTTTTTTGCTTCTCTCCTTCCTATTCAGGATAACAACCCCAGAAGGTGTGCTCTGAACGTGGATTAACTGAAGAGCCATGGGAGCACCTGGAGCTGCAGGAAAGGAGCAGATCCTGAGCAGCCTGCAGCCCCATCCCACACAGCGCAGGCACTGCAGGGCTCCCCAGGCTCTCCTGCAGCTCTGCCCGATGGATTATTGCATTATGGCAGATCACAGAATCACAGGTTGTGGTGCCGCTTGTGCCTCCTGAATTTAAAACCTCCTGGTGCTAAGATGAGAGGAGAGCTTAAAATCCAGAAGTAATTGTTTCATGGGGGAAAAGAAGCCACACAAAATTACATAGGGTGAATAATAGGCAGCAGAAAGAAATGCTTAATGATGCATTTTACAGGTGCTTGAGTGACAGGAACGACAAGGAGCAACCCTACCTCCAAGACCTGACAAAGCCAACAGCCAGCCCCAGAGCCCAGCAGGTGGGCACAGTGGCAGGGGCTGCTCTGCTTCCTGTCCATCAGGCTTTGTCTAGCTGCTCGCCCACCCAACCCTTCTGTTCCCCAGCACCAGGGAGCAGGGCTGAGTCCCAGCTGTGCCCCATCCATGTACGTGGCCCTGCTGATGCTATTGGGTGGGGGTGAGCAAGGAGCAAACCCATGCAGGGCTGCTGGCCATCTGGAGGAAGCAGATGCACCAAACACGACCAGGGTGATGTGCTCACTGCTTGGCACTGCTTGGTACACCAGGGCAGGGTTTCATCTTTCATTGGCTGTTGAAGTTTCATTCAAATTAAACTAATGTCAAAATCTTTATGTTGATTTCAGAGGGGAAATGTTGTCATTGACGCTTTCCCATCAACAAAGACCATGGGAGGGTCTGCATTCACCTGAGACAATAGAATGAACCTGTTTGCCTCCAAACATAAAGCGTAG